AAATTGATCTAATTGTTAATATTTTGTAACACATATTATAAAATAGACAACTTTAGAGCAAATTATTATTAATAAGGTTTTTAAAGAAACCAATTGAGCATTTGATTGAGAAACAACCTAAAACTCCTCCGAAGTCTAGAATTTGAGATCCTTGCTTTAGTTAGGCAAAAACCGTTCTTAGGCTTTCAAATTTATCCTAAAATTGCATTTAAACTCTCTAACTTCATTAATAATGCAAGCGAGTCCTTCTCACAAATGAGCGAAATGTTATTTCATGTTTAATATCACCCTGAAAGTATGAATACTCATGAAGGAGAAAGGTTTATTTGCGTCGTTAGTAAAATTAGAGGACTTACCTATTTCATTTTTAGTTTAAGAGTTTAAATATTATTTTAAGATAAATTAAAAGGTTTAAAAAGAGTTTTTACCCCTACATTTAGCACCTCAGAACTACAACACTTCCTTTCCTAGGCAACATATATATATATATATATATATATATACATGATCTCGTAGCTCTGGACAACGAACAAAGCTTAATAACTAGCTATTTAAAACTGGTGGCTGATGGGGTCTACCTGTTTTAAACAAGTCAATCTAATGTACTTAATGCCCAAAACACATGGGCTTCTTCCTTGTCCCTTACCCCTACATCTTTCTCCCCTAACATTGAATAATTACTCCTACAAACCTAGATTGAAGTTTCAAACAATAATGTGCACATGATACCACATGCAACATTCATTCTCCTCCGCTGCACCTCATGTCCTCATCAATTGCTCGCCTCTCTTTCACATGAAAATATTAATATTTCTAATCTCATATCAATCACATTAGAAAAGATATACATAAAAATATAAATTTTATCTCTTTTTATTTTATTTTATTTAAACATATAAATTTTTTGAGTTTATAAATTAAGAGATAAACTTTCATTTGTTTCTATTTAAGATATGAATTTTATTATTTTTTAAGGGTTTAATTATTGGATAGCGTTAGTAATGCATTAATCAATAATTTTAATTGAAATAACACAAAATATATATCTTTAAATAAAAAACATAACAAAATTGATATCTTTAAACAAGAAAAAAATACAAGTTTATTACCTAATTTAGAATCT